TCTAAGAAATGAGATGTTCACTATTATCAAATATTATTTCAGTTCTGTAGCTCATTAGTGTCTTTGCCATTTTAATAATGTCCTTTATGTTTGTTCTTTGCTAAGAAGTCAGCAGTCTTCTGCAAATGGAAAAATTAAAGGGAAAAAACCCTCTAAAGTTCAAAGGAACTGCCAGAAACATGCAAGAAAGTCAGGTTGTACAGAAGTGTTCTTTTATTGTCAATAGATTAATTGTCAGGGACAAGTTCAAGACATCTGCTCCCCTCCCCCCACACCCTTATTCTTTAAACAGTTGCTCATCACTTTCATGTTTCAGGATTGTGTGTAATTTCAAAATGTTATATGTCTTAGCTTGATTTTCTTGCTTCCCCAAGGAGTACTTGCTACATTTTCCTACAGCCTTTGTAGTTAAAGCTCTGGGTATATTATATCCCAATCTATTACTTTCTTAAGGAAGCTGTTGCTTTTATTCTTTTTTATCCTTTTTGAAATTTTTTTAAAAAGAAAATGACACAACCTTGTTGTCTTTGTAATACTCCTCCACACTACAAACCCAACCAAAATGTTTCAGGGTGAGAATTGTGGCCCGTTGAAATCACTCCAAAACTACTCCAACACCACCACCACCCATGAATGTGGTGGCAATGAATTTGAGTTGGATATAAATAGGGTGTAAAAACTGGGATGTCAGCAGTAATATCCAACATGAGGATATACAATGCTAACAGTATGAACCACTCCAACTGCCATGGCCCTATTCTATGCAAACTTGTAGCATAGTTTCATATGGCACTTAAAATTCTCTTCCAGAAAGCTCTCATGTTTGTAGCTCAAGGGAATGGAGTAAACTAAACTACAAATTCCAGGATTCCATAAGATGGATCCAAGCTGGTTAAAGTTTATCAATCTGTTGTACTGGTGCACTGTGAATACACAAATCAGGACTTTTATTTTTATTAGATTATTTTCAATTGACCATTAAGGTTGCCATGTGTCCCATTTTCTATGGGACCGCCCCTTTTAAGTATCAAAGAAGCTGACTCTTATTGAGGTTACATGGAATGCCCGAAATCCTGCATTTAAGCAAAATCATGCAAGTAGCAACACTGGGTGTCATCTGCACAGACAGGTTCTCCAGCATTTGATATGCAGCAGTGGCACAATTGCATACCAAATGCTGGGGAGAGGGGTTTGTCTGTCTATACAACAGTGGATGCTCAGCTCAGCTTTATTATTGCTTAAGCCAAAGGCCATTCGCAATTTTAACATTATAAAATACATCAGTATTATAAAATAAAATACATCAGTTAGTTAAACAGCGTACACATTTGGAACAATTTGGGGAAAAAAACCTAAATCAATGTTCTTAAATCAATGTTAACTAAATCGGTGTTAAAAACAACTTATTAGATTAAATACGATCATCTCCACGGCAATCA